ATCCTCGGCAGCACATTCATTTTTATCGCAGCAATTTGGCCTAGCAATGATAACTTCAAATTTGACCACATTTCTAAGTCTTTTTTCACTTCAATCCAACATTTTTCATAGTTATCCTTAAATAAGTTCACATTCTTGGCAGTCATGTCCATTCTTAACCTGAAAGTGTTCTTAACCTGAGGTACCACTTTAGCTAATGGGGCCTCCCACTGCTGCCGTGCCGCCGGAGCATGATTTCTGTTCTCATCCTGAAGCAAAATTCTTAACCTGAGATACTATTTCTGGGTTAGCAGAATCTGTAACCTGAAGTGTATGTAACCTGAAGCATATGTAACCCAAGATACCACTGTATTGTGGTTTGTGATCTTGGATCACGGCTGCAATCCTAAATCCACTTTCCTGGAAGTAAGTGCCATTGAATTCAACAGGAATTACTTATAAGTGGACATGGTGAGGGCTGCAGGGTAAAACAAATTTTAGTATGACACTGCTGTTTGTTAAGCAACAATAACAAAAGTTTGGTATATTTCAGTTTAAGGTGGCACAATCTAGAGTACTCTGTGAGTATAGCAGCAATGCCTTGAGATACTGCAGTTCAAGCATTCAAAAAAATCAGGTTTTCTAATTTGCAAGAATTTAAGGATACTGGCACTCTGTACATGCTCGTAAGCATATTCCCAGCACTTGAGCTAATACACAGAAAACAGACTCTGGTTTGAGTGATGTCTGTAATGAAACCTTGGCAGGCAGGCAGAGGTAGGATTTACTTAATAGGGTGTGTACATAATGCAAGCTTTGAAAATGGTTTGTGCATTTAAACTGAGACCACAAGCAGCTGCTGTAGTTTTACAGCAGCCCGTGTAATGCAAATAACACTGTAAATAGCAAGCCAATAATGGTCCATATTAGTTTCTCTAGTGAACAGCATAATAAAATATTTAGAGAAGTAAACTGCTAGTAAAATTGGCAGAGGATGTTGTTTGGCAGGGTCTTGGGGAGGGAGTGCTTTGTGGAACTCCTTATCTGAATTTTGTGTTTTTGAGAACCACTTGTTACAAAAATGCCCTCAAAGGTTGAGTCCTTTGATAACTCATAAGGTTGGCAACTTGGCAAATTACCAGGCATGAGAGTCAAATGCATATTGTTGGTATAAGACTGCCAGCATTGAGGGACACAGTTGTTTTTTTTAAAAAATCCCTTGATTAACAATGGATTTGTACAAATGTGCACTCTGAAACCTTTGAAATGTGCTGAAAAAGAGAGGAGGGGGAGTGAGAATCTTGAGACTGGATCATAGTTGTAGTCCTATGAGGAAAAACAGCCCAATAGAATCACAAATGCATTATATTTAAGAAAAAGGAAACAGAGGAATGAAAGAGGCCCTGATTTTGAAGGGGAAGAGGTGAGGGAAATGATTAGGAAGTGTTCTTCTCAAGCTAATCGGTTTCTTTCTGCTTAATGAGATGTATACTTTAGCATGAGACAATCAGGAAGAGGAGCCAAAGTGACAGATCACCACCTTTTGCATTTATTTATTTTTTAATATCAGCAATGCTTGAGGAATTTGATATTTCTGTATTCCAATACAAACTGACCAAATGCACTCATCTCAAGCTAAATGTGTGGATCAAAAAATAGTTATCATTCCAATTTTGCACATTTCTGACATTTGTGGTGCAGTATTTGGCCAAGAAAGCATCAAAATACATTTCAAAATGAATATCTTTTCAAATAAAAGAATGCATATCTTGAGAGAAAATATGTTGAAAAATGCATATTTCGTAAGAGCACATGTTGAAAAACACACATTTGATTACTAATTTTTGTGCAGATTTTTCTTAAATAAGCATTTTCTGCACATGGGATGTCAGGTGTGGGACAGGTAGAGACATGTCTGCCAGTGCACAACTGGGAGCCTTAAAATGTGCTCCTGATTGTACATTGCCAAGGGGGGCTTATTGTCACTATGAATAAGCTGATCTGTGGTGAGAGCACGGCAGCCATGTGGAACTTGGTCACACAGTTGATTCCTGCAGAAAGCAGGATTGGCGCCATCACCTAGCAGTTGACAAGCAGTGACATCAAGCCTCATTTGGCTTGGATTTAATTTGGTAGCACTGCTTGCCATGCTGCAAAGAAAAACCATTTGCCTCACACCACTGCAAGATCACCACAGAGAGGTAACCATATATGTTATATGGACAAGTTGGGGACATGCCAGTGAGGAGAGGGGATATTGAGGAGTATCGGAATAGAGTGTCGAAGAGGGGAATGTAAAGTATGTATGTGAAAGCCTGGTTTGGCAAATATTTGTCAAAGAAGTGGGTCTCTAAAACAGTGGCCTTGCTCAAATGAAACTGAGTTGAGTAGATTGAGCTTTACCTTTTGGTCTCCACCCCCTGCCTGAAGGCCTTTATAATAGTGCAGCCTGCAGCTGATTCCCAGTTCTGAGGTGTTATCTGAACAACGGGAGGCCTTAATTAGCTCAGGATCACTGGACATGGTTAGTCCTTTTCTGTCTTCTCACTTACGCATATTTTTGCCCTAAGCATCAAGACTTTCAGATGCAAATCTTTCCAGTGCTGTTCTTTTGCTGGCCTGTAGTTCTCCTCCTCTTAAAAAAGAAAGAAAGAGGAAGTCTATAATAAAAATACATTTAGCGGAGCATAGAGACTGTGTTGAGTCTCTCTCTCTGTGTGTATTTAACCTTCATGCTTAATTGTGTAACCCATTATATAGTGTTGATGCTTTGTTCCTAAATTCACTACATGAGGTGCTGTGCATTAAAGTGTATTTATACTTTTTCGGATTAATTAGCTGTGACCTTACGAACTGCTGTCCTTGTTTAATTGGTGTCTCCAAAGCACAGTAATGGCATAAATCATCTGATAATGAGATTCAGAGCTGGTTGCAGACATATATAATAGCATCGCATTGATAATAGCAAATGAGATTTGTTGATTCTACATTGGGTTATAGCTAGGGTTGCTACCTCTTTTGGGAGGGGCTTGCTCCCGTGCCTTTAATAGCAGCTCAGAAATTAAGAAGGTAATACCTTGACTCATTACTTATATCAGTTCCCAGAAAAGTTACATTTGTTGAATTTGTGTCACATGTAGCTCTAAAAGCAGGATTGGAAGGGGAGGCGGGAATGCCAATTCTTACTGTAGCAGAGATTATGCACCTAGAAGTAGACGTTTTGTATGGTGGGGATTGGCTGAAATGTATGAGGGTGCTGAAGTACGAAGCCGCTGCATTCAAATGTAAGAAAGCAATGGCAAATGTCAGGGTCACATGATTCTTCCCCCCTTCTCCTACTGCAGTTTCCTAAAGCACTTTGAGTTTCTTGACAAGCCACAGTTTGCTGCTGTATGCAAACGTACTATGCTATGTTATGCTCAGACCACAGTTTGTCACATTTGATTGTGAAGAGTGAAGGAAGAGCGAGGAGGGAATAGCTCATTCAAACAGTGCCAAGCTATTGTTTGGGATTATATTTTAGTTAGAGCAACCAATGTGGTGTTACAGCAGAAGCACACTCCACAAACCCACATTGCTGCTGATTATCAGGGCAGGTGCAGGAGAGTGGGGCGTTCAGAGTTGTGTGGACACACCAGTGGAGCCCTATTTGGCACTCCTGCTAGTGTGCCCATTCAGGCTCAACTTTGCCACCACTTTCCTCTGCCTATACCCCATCCATTCAAGTGCGAACAATTCAGTATCCTGCATGGCACCATCCCACTGCGTTGGTTGCTCCTGCAATTTGAGTGCAGTCAATAGTTCACATTAAGAAAGGGGGAAATCTTCACATGCTAGATAATTGTGTATTTTGGGGTAAGTTAGGATACAGCTATGGAGGGGCACATGATACCTGATTATTTAGAAATGAATTCTAAAGTTTCAAACTGGCAGATACCTCATAAATTACCAGTTTAGCTTTTGAGTTTGAGATGTTTTAAATGTTCAGTGTTCAACCCCCAGGTTGCCCTTAGCAGTGCTTTGTTTCTAGAACAAAAAAGGTGCTGGTACTCTGGGCAGTTGCCCTGGGTGCAAAATTTCTCCCGGACAGGGAAAAACAATGTATAAGACTAGGGTTTTTTTTTTTACTTAAAAATAATGTTAAAAGGGGGGGATAGTCTTCTACATGGGGACAATCTCCCCCCATTTTCTTAATTTTGAGTCCCCCAAAATAGGGAGCATCTTATACCAGGGGGCGTGTTATACACGGAAAAATATGGTACATGTAATGCGATTACATGTTTTACCGGCACTTCATTAAGATCTTGGTATATAGTTATTACAGGATGCATGGTAATTAAATGCTGCAACACCATACCTTTTCCTGTACTCTCAGTATCTGACTATGCAGGCCTATTTTCCCCACAGGGTCATACCATCCAACATCCTGCTGGGACACAGGCTTGCAGCTCCTTCCCCAAGCCCAGGAAGCGTTTGCCCAGATTAGGGAAGGAGGTGTGATGCTCTGAGATCTCTCCCTCCTCCTTTGTTCCCAAAAGATGGCAATAGTGCATACTGTTGTGTACAGCCGGAAAAAACCTACTGGCCCTCAGGTTGCAAAGTGGTTTTCCATCCCTATTTTGAAGATTTAGTTAACGTGGAGAAATTACAGAAACTTATGGCATGTTTGTATATGTTTTTTTAACGCATGGGGACTGTATATATGGGAGCAGGGAAGCAGCCAGGCCGAAATGGCTTTAGGTTTCAGAGCAGTATCAGGTTGCTTCAAAACATGCAAAAAATTTATGGTACATCCCCTCCCCAAGATAGTTATTTGCCAGCCAGCTGCAAAAACTCCTAACCACTAGCTATCAAACTATTCTGCCCAGCCCCCAATCAAACAGGTGAGGTATGTCTGGTCTCTATTAGCCACCCGCCATGAATTCTCATTTAAGCAAGCCTTAGTGGCTGATGTTTCCATTTATTAGTGTATTTCAATGATACGTATACCATAGATTCTTAGATAAATGAACCCAAAAGATGGGTAGCTCAGTTGGTTTTGGCATGGTGCTGACAATGTCAAGGTTGCAAGTTCAATCCCTGTAAGAGACAGCTGCATATTCCTGCTTTGCAGGGAGTTGGACTAGATAATTCTCAGGGTCCCTTCTAACTCTGATATAAAGCTTCTACGTGAGGTAACAGATCAGCCAACTGCTGCCTTATAATCTGTCTCATGATTTCAGCATCTCTAACAGGGATGGGGTATTATGGCCCTTCCAGATGTTGTTGGCTACCCAATTCCCACCACCCCTGGCCATTGGTACTGCTCTCTGGGCTTCTGGGAGTTGTAGTTCAGCAGTAGCTTGAAGGCCCAGGTTCCCCTACTGCTATATTCTGCTTATTTGATGAAGTTGCTTCCAATGTTTCAGTAATATAATACTAGGGAAAGGGGTGAAGCTCAGTGGTAGAGCATCTGTTTTGCATACAGGAAGCCCCTGGTTCATTCCCTGTCACCTCCAGGAATAGCCAGGAAAGATTCCCTGCCTGGAACCCTGGAGAGTTGCTACCAATCAGTGTTAACAATACTGGACTAAATGGACCAAAGGTTTGACTCAATACAAGGAAGCTTCATATGTTTCCCCTGATAAAAAAAGCGGAAAAGTATTTTAAAACATTTCCACAATGTGTAGTGTCTCAGAGTCAGATTGACAGGTGAAAGACCACAAAAGGGCCTTTCAAAAGTAATATAATTTTGAAGTTGTGAAAGCTTTTGCACACGAAGCCTTTGCAACTGCAATTTTGAGGTTTACCAGGCTCCTGGAAACGAATGCATTTTTTTACTTGCAGTTCCATCTTTCAAAATTATCAGTTGTGAACAATTCAGTGGGAGTAGTACAGGATTTCGATCCAAGCTTAGTGCTTTTGTATTCATGTCTATTTTCAGGGCAGCGTTACTGGTATCCATGCCCATGTTCTGGAAAGAAAATAAGGGCTTTGCAACAAAGTGCCTTTTGTTTTCTCGAGAACTAAAACAGCTGCATACAGACCAAACAATAAAAATAAACTCCTGCCGAACTACCTTCTAACACACGGGGGTTCTGGAGAGAGGAAACCAGGGATATTTAGAGGTATAAAGTGACTCATTGTGCTAGCAAAAGAATGTTATAAGGCAAGCCTGTGGCTTGGAGTTGCATCTGTTACCTTTCTAGTCAGTACTGACGGGCATTTAGGAAGGGAAGCAGGGGGCGGGGGCTTAAATTGAATAATGCCTAATACTGACTGCATTGTACTAGACTAACTTGCAGCCCAGTCCACAAGATACGTAGACCAAAGAACTTGGATTCAGTCCCAAAGGCATTCACTATCTCAAAGCAGCATTTCTGTACTTTTTGGTCATTTGCATTGCATTCAACATTGAAAAAGCACATCTAAATGTTTTCTATTAACGTATGTTGGCATGCATAACAAAAAGCAATTTATCTTTTTTTAAAAAACAAATTGAGTGTGGTGTGTGTGTGTGTGTGTGTGTTACAGTCTTGTCTCATGTTTGCCTTTCTGACAGTTTATAGATGCCAGCAATGGATAAGGTTGCTATGTGAAATGGAAAACAATGAAATATGTATTTCTCTTGGTATTCACAGTCTGAAAAGCACATCTGTGTAAAGCGTTCATCTTAAATGGGTGGAAAGGATTCCCCCCCTACAATAAATAAATCAAAATGTATCTTAAATTAAGAGGAATACAAAAAATGGCCATTTTGCTTACACTTTTTTCCCTCTTGTGTCTTTTAGGTCAGTTTCATGAATTCAAAAGAAACTTACCAGTGATTTTTGGGTGCCTGGGCTGGTTTTCTTGTGTATTTGTAAGTACTGATACGTTTTATGACTACTTTGTACTTTACAGGAAGTTCCTCCCCCCCCCCAATCTTTATGTGCTTTATTTGTAAAAGAATAAATAGAAATGAGGTGTTGATGTTCATATTTTGATTAAGCAGCTGTGTTTTTCAGCACAAAATGGCTGCTATGGGCAGCAAAAGAAAGGGGTAGTAGTGAGTGCCATCACAAAAAACACAGTGTATTTATAGATATATATTAAAAGGTTACATGTTGATTTTCTGTTGATTTTAGTGTACAACACACATACACGGTTAAAATAAATAGCCTACAATTTTGGGTGCAATCATACTTGCTCCATGCATGGAACATGCTGTGGAGACCTTTTCTCCCTGCCCCCCATGGCATCTTCATGCCTAACGACTGCTGCTTTCTTCACATGCTACATTGCAACCAGACTATTAACTTCAAATTGGGCCCTTCTGTGTCTCGTACGGAAGCACTCAGCTATTGACTCCTCTTCAGGATCTGCATGCTGTGCCGCTCCACCTTTTGCTGAGGGTAGCCTATATCACATACTGATGCCTCATTGAGAGTTAAGGACTCATTGTCTGCCTCAGCTGCCTAGCAGCAATGTAATAATTAGATGAGCAAAATAGTCCAGGTGCTCAAGCTAAATAAGAGAGTTAGGGTTTGATGGAGGTACTTTTAAATTGGTATGCCTGCGTTCTGCATAAAGCAGAGATGGGGGAATGTTTGGCCCTCCAGATGTTGTTGGATTACAACTCCCATTGTCCCGGTATATTGTCTGCGTTGACTGATGAGGGTTGAAGTTCAACAATGTCTGAAGGGCCGCAGGTTACCTACAGCCGGATGATACCCTTCTCATGAATGTTCTTCACAACATGGAATAATTAAGACTGCAATCCTCTGAACATTTCCTTGAGAGTAAGCCTTATTGAATTCAGACTGCGCAGCATATTTAGAACGTAGAATTCAAATAAAAATCCCATTCTGAAACATGGATCTACATACAGTAGTGAATATTTCCATTCTCTCTTATAATTGGTGTTTGTGTAATGGTGGGGGGTGAATGAGCAAAACATTTACATGGACACTAGAATTTTCAAAGGGTTCTTCCAGACGGGAAAACAGGTTGTCCAGATACTGCAATTGGGTGGTTGGAGTATTTCTTTTAAATTTATCGGAATTCCCCTCCCCCCAAAAAAGAGTAAATCCAGATTAAATTAGGGGTGGAATATGGGATAGCATTTTGATTCCAACAACCTTGTGTGGATGCTGCAAAAAATGACATACAGGACCCACCTGTCTGGAAGCACCTGAAGTATGAATGCACAGGTTCCTATATTAATAACCTGTGGTGTAAAACATTGAATTTGTTCTCAGTTGAAAGAATCGTGAGTGTGTGTGTGTGTGTGTGTGTGTGTGTGTGTGTGTTTAATCATATTTGCTTAACCTGGAATGAAAAAACAAAAAACAAAAACGAGTCCTGAACACTGACCCCTCAAAAAAGGCAAGCTGACTGAGGTAGAAATGTTGACCTATGAAATATCAACCCTGCATTTTTCTACTTGCGGGTTTCATTCTGGTTTTGGTCAAATGAGAAGACATATGTGATCAAGCAAACAGCTTTCAGGTTACAGCGAACAGGCTGTGTGGTTCATATATCGAATAATGAAGCATTATATGAAACAAGACTGATATTTAGTCTGTGCAAAGTTAACAGCAAAAGTCTAATTGACTTAGGATTTTATCCAAGTGAATTTCTTTAAAACAGCTGAGACCAGAATTTGGTGTGTGTCTACTTGGAAGTAAGTCCCCCATATTCAGTTGGGCTTCACTCCAAGTATGCTTTAGGATGGCGGCCTAAGACACATTGATAGGGTCATGAAACAAATCTGACATTGCAGCTGATAATCCTTGCTCTGTCATTGAAAGGGTTTATGGTACTGTTTAGGAATTATTTATTAGAAAAAGTCTGCAATGGATTCTGGGCTGATTCACACACGCTTTGCATTACTTGATCTGTCATTCCTTGATTGCTCAAACATTCAGTTGCAAATCCACTTAACTGGAAAGCATTGTCTTAAGTACTATGAGACAGTATGGAAGTTCTCGTATTTAAGCTGTGCTTTGTCATTCATGGGGACGTGGGTGGCGCTGTTGGTTAAACCATAGAGCCTAGGACTTGCCGATCAGAAGGTCGGTGGTTCGAATTCCCACGATGGGGTGAGCTCCCGTTGCTCGGTCCCTGCTCCTGCCAACCTAGCAGTTCTAAAGCATGTTGAAGTGCAAGTAGATAATAGGTACCGCTCTGGCAGGAAGATAAACGGTGTTTCCGTGCGCTGCTGGTTCACCAGAAGTGGCTTAGGCCACATGACCCGGAAGCTGTATGCCAGCTCCCTTGGCCAATAAAGCATGATGAGTGCCACAACCCCAGAGTCGGCCATGAGATGCATTCTAAGTAAAAGGACACATTCTACTCATGTAAAAACAAGCTGATTCCTGGACTGTCCACGGGCTGGATTTAGAAGGCGCTTTGGCCGGATCCGGCCCCCGGGCCTTAGTTTGCCTACCCATGCTTTTGATGGTATTTTATGAATTTAATAATTATATACTACTTTCTGTAGGGTAGCTTTTGAATGGAATCTTACTGAGTGAAATTTACTGAACAGGTCAAGATGGTAGATTGTCTAATTCTCCCCCTTTCTCTCTTTGGAGTGTGCATGTAAGTATGTGTGCGCGTGTACACACCCCTCCCAATATTTCAAGGGTGGATTGATTCATCTCCAGATATAAAAACAAAATCACTTAGCGCAAGCCATTCATTCATCATACAAGATGGTGCAGTAAAAGGTTAACTGCTCAGTGGATGGATGAGATCTACTATAAATAACTGTGCTGTTTAGAGGCCTGGCGATATAAGTTTACGGCAGGTAAAAGAGAGCTTTTACCCACTTAGCACAATGTTTGATAAAGATAGTACTATAAAAACATCTGTGTGTCTGATTGGAAAGAAAATGCAGCTCTTAATGAAACATGTAAAGTACGTGCAATGTGAAAACAGGTGAAAAGGGTGGTTTTAATTTTTTTTTAAAAAAGAACAACTTAAATTTAAATCCATGTTACAACAGTACCTGACTATTTCAAACAGGCTGCTGAGTTCCCTCTTTAAAAATTTAAAACCATGAAGGCAAATTCCAGAACTGTTGTTATGTTTAGCTAAAGTTCTACTCACAGGCTACATTAATTCCACATATGCCAGTGGATTTAAGTAGCCTTTGCCCAGGGTTGCTGCTTTAGGCCATAATCCTGCATGCATAGAACAGTTTATGAGCTGCTTCTCATAGAGGTCCAGTGGAACCCTCTTGTCTTACACTACTCTCCTGTTTTTTGTTCGATCTGACTCTGCCCGGCACTTTGCAACGTGACATGACTGCAACCCCTAGCCATCCCATGCTTAACATTAGCACACCAAGCATCCTGCTCTTTCGCAGGTCCCTCTGTTTCTGCTTCTGCTTCGACTACTCCAGGGGGATGGCTAAAAGGGCCTCAACTCCAAGGGAATGACCTGTCAAAGGACTCAGTGTACCTTCACAGATATGATATGTCAGGTGGTAGAAGAAACAGTAGTAATGAGTCCTACCAAAAGCCACTCTGCACTC